ACTTCCTGTTTTATCTTCAAAAGCATAACAGGATAATGGGTTCATATTGAAGAGCATTTCAGTGTGACCGAGCTAAAAATTTGATCATCCGAAAGCAGACTGACATCAACGAACAATTATCTGGTGAGATGGCTGAAAGGAGGTGAGTTGATTTGGTAATGACGATAAATGATAAACACGAAATGGTAGCCACGTACATATATCCAGATTTGCTGTCATCTGCCAGTGTTTGGTGAACACAAAATTTTCTGAATTCTTTAGAACTTGAAATGGATAAACTGACTTGCGTTACCGCTTGAGTGCTACTGACACAAAGACCACCGCAACCAAGTTGTCGAGGAAAAAACATTGTATTCATCAGATCTATATGAATTGTCAGCATAAGTGCGACAAAAAAATAGTTTTCGAATATTTGCTTTCATATGACAATGAATGGAATGAAGAAAAATCAATGGCAGATGTAGATGGATGCTTCATTTGAAATGAGGAAGCACCAATAATCTTATATTGCTAGCTGTTTTGTCCTCATAGGAAGATTAGAATATACGACTGTCGATCTTGCATGAGCAGTGGTCTTTTGGTACTGACTGACCAGAGCCGAGACTACTTCAGTCTAACCGACTGTTCATAAGAAATTAGCTAGACTGTTTGCTGGCTTGATATTTTTCACGAGATAAACTTGTTGTGACTTTTTATTGATGTGATTGGCTGAATTTTTTATCGTATATTCATCAACTGTTTGTGTTTCAAGGAACAAATTGACTGATTGATAGAAATGAATCGTATGGGCACATGCAACACAGCATATGCGTACGATGCTAGACTTTTTTAGATGATAATCAATGGGCACTCGATAGTAAATGATATGATAAATGACAGAAACGTAATGGTCGCTTTTTATTAAGAAACACACAGCACAGAATGTAGGAAGAAAATATTGATGAATATGATGAGATGAATGTCGGGCAAAGCGTATAGATGCGTTGATATGGCGTGAATATCGATCGAGACCATTATCCGACAAACCAAACACACATGTCGATTGCACCCAAATCGTTCGTTCGTTCGAAAGAAGTGGATGATTTTAGACGAATAAATCTAGTCGATTAGTTGAGTACAATTGCACAAAATTTTGCAGCTTTTGATTGCAGTCCGTCTAGAAAATCTATTGTCAAATTAATCATCAATTATGTGCGGTGTCTGCATTAACTACTTCACTGATTTTTCGGTGTACCGTCTGAGTCGTAAATTCCTTTTTGACCACTTGCATATTTTGGTAGAATACAAGAGACAATGGATACATAAATCTCACAAAATATGTTACGCTAATCAGACAAAAACTATGAAACGGATCGATAGACAGACGTGATGCTGTTGTGCAAAAGAAAAGACGACGTTTCATTAAAATACGAGTAAAATTCATCAGACACACGACAACTGAGCATCGTCGGCAAGGAGTGAATAAGCATATGAGTCGTCTGTCTGCTCGTTCCTCTCCACGAATCTCTTGGCAATCGTTTACTCCTGTTATTTCACGTCACTTATTGAGAACAAGATGGATGGGAGGACAAAACTAAAGGCGAACAAGCAGATGAAATTGTGATAAAGATGCAGTTTAGAGTGATGACGGCGATGGAAAAGAACACTACGAAACGAAGGATGATTAGTGAGTGGAAGACGGTTGTGCTGAGAAGAATATGATGGGTTGGTGGACGATTGTTGGGGAAGGAATTGAATTAATTCGAAGAAATGGATGGAAAGACAACGACTTTCTGGAAAACGACTCTGAATTTTGGTGGATTCGATTGAGACCAATCGCTGGTTTTACTGTTGTATTAGAGGTTGGTGTTGTTGAATTGGTCGCTTCGTGACTAGTCTGCGGCGATGCCACTGTTGTCTGCCACAGAGTGTATTAAGGTTTCGGTGCTTTTGCGAAAAGAATCGATGCGCGGCCGATAGTTGTTCTAATCCGTTGTGGTCGTTATGAATGCAATTGTATGCGTCCGTAGCGCGTTGCTTTGCGCTTGTTCAGCAGGATGATGGAGGTAGGTAGGTTGATTAGAATGGTGATCAAGATCAAACCGGATCAGATCAGGTCTGCGTTATCATTCATACTGCTCACACATTCGCATCCCTACAATATCGCACGTCGACGTACCAAAGCACGAGAACGAGGAAGCAAAGGCGGTCGGTCGGTCGGTCGTCAGCCAACTGATGAATAGCGTTCGTCATCATTTGCATGAGATGAATGAGACGACGAATATAGATCAAATATACAGACACAAATGTATAGACTCGAGCACGAAATCGACAACACACTAGTGAACGTGAACGCGTTGAAACGGCAGCAGCAGAAATCGAAATAGAACATTGGCTTCATAGAAATGATGCAGTTGAGTGGAATGGGCATTGTGAGCGAATGAACGATGATAACTGATTGTCGTACAAATAGCAGCAGAGCAGCACGACACAACGCAGCAGTCAAACACAATGCACTACACCGTATATATCATTTTACAAGTCATTTCATCTCTTTACATCACAAACTACACACTTATTCAAGCAGAAATTACAATTGAATCTATCAACTTCTACCAGGCAACGAACCAGCAAGCAAGCATTNGACATAGTATTACACAACGACTGTAAAGGCGTCCGTCCTCATCTCATGCGTATTATTTCAATTGTGCATCCGATGAGGATATCTCGAGTAAAATGCTGCTCGATACTGAGCAGCGTATGGATGAGATGTACAGAGACGAGTTAAGAGAGATAAGCGGCTAAGAAGAGATGTATTGTCATATGGGAATAATGTAAACACTAGTGATGGGATCCGAACCGACAGTCGGTCGGAAAAATCCGACAATTTCGGTCTGAATTAAGACGGTCGGCTTCCGACCGAGCAATTTGGAAAGTCGGTCAGAATTCCGACTGTCGGAATGACGAAATGCCGATTCGGTCATGAAATTAGGTA